CACCTAGTTGCTTCCAGTTAATCTTTCACTTCCCTACAAGTTATTTAATTAGAAACTTGTAGTAGACTCTAAGGAGTCCTTTCACTGGTTCAAGAAACAGAGCAATAGTCTAAACCCCTATCACCCTCCTCCCCACAACCCTCAACTCCTACACGATGTACATTCTAACCCAAGATACTTTAGATTTGTGAAATCACCTGCAGAGCCTCGTTTCCCACTCAGTCAAGTTGGACATCTTAATCCTTAGGGCAATTCTAGATTTTTCATTGGGGAAGATACAAGAATGTATCTCTCTTAAACACTAGTGCAACAATTCCTGTTCCATACTTCAGTGGGTATAAGTACCTTCCACCTGAAGAATAAAAATGGCAAAAAAAAAAAAAAAAAAACTAACAGGTTTCTTTTTATTTTTATAGTATTTTAGCCCTAATTTTACTTGACCTGTAAAGAAAAAATAATAATAGAAATTTGTACCTTTTATTTTTTTACACTGGATGCATAAATAAGCAAACACACACATATACACTCCACTGTAGAAGAATCAGTCATCTGAAATGAACACACTGGCAACGGACCAATATTAACTTTGCACTTCCCTGAGAGAATAAACAACAACATCTACTGACACCAGCAGCTCAGTTTCTTAAAGCCAAATTAACAAATTGAAAGCAAATAAACAAATATTTCTCCGGCATCCATTATGGTCATCACACTCAGCCAAGTGTTATGTCACCATAATTAGGCATGAAAAAAACAAGACAACTAAGCACTGATCTTGTCTCCAAAACAAAGGGTGAAATTCTAGAGACTTGATAAGAATAAAATGTTTCTGCTGACTCTGACGGCAAAGAAAACTGAAGAAACTGTGTAGTCATATTTCTCCCTGAACTCATGTAGGAATTAAAAATGTATCCAGTCAAGATTATCAGTGGCTACCTATTGTAGTTACTAGGCGAGAAGGTGTCAATTTAGAAATCCAAATGACCGTGTTTGAAATATTAGATTTTCTGGGATAACACTATAAATATTTTTAATAAAGAGTTTACATAATAAACCATGAAAATGCTTTTAAAATTCTATGTAAACACTACAAAATACAAAGACCCAAGCTATAAAAATGGATTTCCAAGAAAGCTTTAAAATAAAATTTAAAAAAACAACAATTCAGTTAATGTAATAAGGTGTTCTTACATTACAGTTCTGAAATAATGTAGATCATGCTGCCCCCTTGTGACAGACGTAAAACATGAATTCTGCCTATGCAAGGAAAACACAATTTACATTTAAAATAGAAATCATCTCTTAATTTCTGAATGATTTACTGCTGACCTGGGATTTGCGTTACCCATGTATTAAGATCTCATAGAACTGAAATGGGGCTACGATGATAGAAGATAAATTCTGACTAGGAAGAGGCAGACGCAGAAAACAGCACAGGGACACAGAACACATCTCCAAGACACTATTCCACTCAAGTTGCAATCGAAATGAGTAGGAAGCGTCAAGGTGCTGAAATTGTGCAGCTCGTTAATGGACACACATGACACTGTTACCAAAACACGTCTTAGGATGAAAAGATAAAAATTAGAGATGAGTGAGAGGAAAGAAGTTAAAAAGAGAGAGAAGAAAAAGAAAACTAGCTTTTGCCACTCTAACACTACACACTAGTTGATTTAAATTTTACCCAAAAAGCTAATTTATCAGGTTATGAAAGATCAGTAGACAATAAGGTATTACATTATATAGTCAAATAAATGAAGTAAATTTCATGCAACCATATATGGGTTCAAAATGGAGAGTAACTTAGTCATGTAGCTTGGAGCAATGGAACCTTCTTAAAAATCAGCTCTCTGGAATGGTTAAACTCCAGTCAGAGAAACTTCGCTACTGAGGAGAAACACGCACATTCCAGGTTCGCCTCGCCCTTCTCCTTCAATCTACGTTAAGTGAATTTAGGACTGGAGGGGCAGCCAGTGTTTCAGGACCTTCCACTGAAGGCCTGGTTCTCTGCATACATGCAAAGGGTCCCCACTGATTAACAAAACGCATAAGGATATGGGAGGAAACATGAAAACAAAGACAACACATCTGAGGTGGGAGCATCCATGAATGAGCGTAACAGACATTTCTATAATCCAGATCAAGGTCACTGACAATATTCAAGCATGAGTGGGAACTGGAGATGGGTATGGAAGGGAACTCTGCCAAGACCTCTGCAAATACAAGCTAAGCTGTGGTTCAGGCAGATCTGGTGAGCCTCTGCCTAGAGTTTCTGGTTTCTGTACCAGTTACCACCTAAGCCTAGTTGGCTGGAAACTATAGATGATTTCCAACTTACAATAGTAGGATTTTTGAACTTAGAATTTTTAGACTTTATGGTGGTGCAAAAGTGATACACATTCAGAGGAAACCATTGTCCGAATTTTGAATTTTGATCTTTTCCTGAGCTAGTAATATGCAGTACAATAATCTCTCATGATGCTGGGCAACAGCAGGGAGATGATTTTGCCCAACTGTGGCTAATGTGTCTGAGCACATTTAAATTAGGCTAAGCTAAGCTATGAGTTTGGTAGATTAGTTGCATTAAATATATTTTCAACTTACCATGGGTTTATCAGGATGTAGTCCCATCATAAATTGAGGAGCATCTGTAACACTGGCAAAAGGCCTCACTGTCCCCTCTGTTTTCTAAAATCTGGTTAGTTGTCAGGATCTGAAGCTCACAGGAAACGTACTGACCCGTGAGTCTCCCTGAGAACGTGCCCTGAATAACGAAGTATTGGGAAGAGAAAGATACGCTTCCTGATCTCCCCGTGCTGCTCAGATAATATACTCTGTAACTCCAGGGCAGCAACACTATGCTGGACATTCGTACACATTTAACGGAACTTAAAAATTGAGCATGTCTACCTCTCTACTCTACAGGGGAGTTTTTTTT